ACTGGAGTGTTATCAGAGCAAATGTTAATAAATATGGGCTTCTCTTCCCTAAATGTGGTGAAAACCACAGACAGAAACAACGTGCATGGAGAAGACTAGGGTCATGTCAGAGGAAAAGCTCGTTTTATCACTTTTTTTCTTTGGAATCAGTGTGTGTAGGCAGAAGTTATATTTAAAGCATGGTTGAAAGTGCTTGAGGCCAGGAGACGTGGGTGCCTGCATCACTGGGTGCTTGTGGACCGACGGAGCAGCCTGCCAGGGTGTCCAGCAGTGTTTTGTTAGAGAACTTCATTATCTACAGAGCATGGGATTAAAACCACACATAATTAAGCAAGGGATGAAGTCAATGTGCTTAGGATGACTGATCTCATGGAAGCTGCCATCTTGCAGTGTGTTTTTCCAGACCGATGGCTTTGGGAAACCAGACTAGTCACAGAATTTATGTTCAAGGGTTTCATGAATTACCCTGGCCTCCAAGCTACCCTCTTTGGGGTTTTCCTGCTTATCTGTTGTCAAGGTGGTGGATAACCTTGGCATTGGTGCTTAAATCTGGCTCGATTCCCAACTACAACCCCCTTTGTATTGGATCTCTGTTTCTCTTCAGCTGTGACACCCAAAATGCTGATGACTTTCTCTTAAGCTGCCTTGTACAGGTGTATTTTTTATGTTGCATTTGTAATTGGAGTCTTACCAAGTGGTCTGGGCTTTGGGGTGTCAGAAGGAAGCTGTGACAATTTTCTGTATGTCATTGGGCATCTTGTATTATGTCTGGCCCTACCAATGTGGGATTAACTTGTACCTGTGCCTCTAGATAGTTTATTTTGTAACAGCAGAGATACAATGCATCCTTAAAGAACTGCCAGGGGCAGATTTGTGAGGAGAATGTGCTAAAATGTTCAGATTGCTACTGAATGTTTGGAGGCTAGCATGTGCTAGGTATCCTCATGGATCTGCCATTCATTAGGCAACCCCAAGTCACCTATATTTTGAAGGGAAATACAGTGACAAGGCTCAGCCTTCTAAAAACAAAACATTTCTGAGTTTTCTGCTGGTAACTCAGACAGCTTACTTTATTTCTCAGTCATCTTTGACCTGGTAGACTAAGGTCATCACGGAAGAGCTGTTCTTTGTGTTTGGGTATTGTTTATTAGCATGGTGGATTAAATCCCTGTCAAGTCCTGTACCTATTCCAGCCATGACATGGAACGTATCAATTTCAGGTAAGCCTCAATCCTGGAACAAACTTTTTCTCAGCTGCTGAAATCAGCTTTTCTTTAATACAGAACATTAAATATTGGACAGTGACAGTTTCTAAATGTGCTATTTAATGGAATTTTTCAGTATATATATTCAAACTGAGGATATACAATAAAGCCATGGTGAACTAGTTGTAATGAAATTAATACATTTTTTTTCTTTGTTATTTTTTTTTTTTTCCAAACAGTTATCTGTTACCTTCACATGAGATTTAACTGGCCAAATTTGAGTTTAGTAGATAAATATTGCATCTGACCTTAATCTTTCTCCATAGCAGGAATGAAAGAGCAAGATCCTTGTTAAATTAAACAAATTAAACATGCATAAAGGCATAGCTTTCTCCCTACAGAAAATATAACATCTCTCTGATATTTCTTTTCAAGATGCTTGAATCAGAGTTGTAGTAACCCATCCAGCCCATGGGTCATATCACTTTGATAAGCCAATATTGCTGCCTTTCACTTTATATACTATTGTAATGTGTGTTTTTTTTTTTTTAATTGGAATTCCGCCTTTCCATTTCTGCCAAAATCTCGGGTCCCGATCTCGGGTCCCATTACTGAAAAGGAAAAATATCTACAGTGGACTTCATGTTATGAATTATGATCTCATTAAGATATTTCAGGCACTGAGAGAGGATGATACCTGAGTATGTTGAGCTGAGGTGAGTTACACTGAAATTGCTGTGAATGTGCTATCCATATTCTGCTAATCAAAATTTGTTTGCAGAAAGCACTGTACTAATACCATCTCTTTCCAAAATATACAGAGATTGTTCTGGTCTTTTAGTAGAGTTGGAGCAATGGAATGACCCTGGTCTCTGTTAAAAGGGAGGAAAAAACAGGCCACTGTGATGCTCCTGGAAATATCTGAAACATAGAAAAAAGGTCTAGAGGACTGCCATCCCCAGTCATGTTCTGACAGGTGGGTCCAACACAGCCCTCCCCGTTCTTAATTGTCAGTAGTCTGGAAGTGGTTCAGGCTCATTCATTGTCTGGAGGCTTGGGCCAGCCACCATCTCCGTGATCCTAGCCATCTGCACAGGCATTCAGCCAACACCGATTACTGCAGCATAAGCTGCTTACAAGAGGTGTTTGAGATGCTTGGAGTAAATTGCCCCTTGGATCTACCTTCCTGTCTTGCCCTTGGTTTTCAGAGGGGATTGTGAAGAGTAACTCGTACTCATTGGGATCTCTAGCTGTTCTGTCTCTTGAGGTTACGAATTGTTGTCACAGGTTCTTGATATTTGTGACAAAAATGTTGCTGTAGTCCAGGAATTAGCATAGGATTTTGCATCATCCTGCGTGCATAGTTAAGCCTTTGTTAGTAGTTCAAGCTGTTATGACTCATGGACTCTCAGTCAGGAGCCAGCAGTATACAACCAAGACTTGCTTCTCTTAGAAACCTGAACTGTAGCCAAGGCAAGGACAAACACCCCCTCCCTGAAGAGGGGTGTCTGGTGTCCACAGAGACTTGCAGGCACCCGTATAAAGGCAACACATTGATGTAAGTGAAGAACTTCACCTGACGGAAATATGCCTGCGGCTCTTGAAACCTCAGGAGAGATGTTCTTGTTTACCTGGAAACTGCGAAGATGGCTTCAAGTTTTAAACCCCAAGATTCACCGTGCATGTTTCCTGAGTCTGTAGTTCCATCCAAAGTGGAAGGGAAAGTGGCCTCCACCCACAGGTCAAGGTGTCCTTTCTCTGAATGGTCAGGGTGAGCTCTGTTGGGACTATCCTCTTCTGTTATAAACCTCTGCAGCTATACTACCTTTGGGGAGGCTGCTCTGATATACACCAGATAAAGGCTTTCTCCTCTGTGTTGGTAAAGGTGAAATATTTCTGTTGGGATGCACTTGGGATGCACACCAGTATATGAATTCAAAAGTGTGCAGGGATCAAAAGTCATGGTGCTTATGGTATCTTTAAGGAGCCTGTAAGAAGAGAGGAGAACACTCTCAAGGAGGAATTAACCCACCCACCAAGCCTGAGACAAAGTGTGTATGTTCCGCTGATGGAGAAGGGTTCTGCAATGAGTCTTCTGATCCTGATGCTCACCTGATGGGGTAAGACTTTGATCTTCATTGTTCTATTCTAAATCTTCATGTTATCAGGGACTGAAACCTGTATTTCACCCTTTCTCTAAGGTGAGCAGCCTGATTATGTGCCTAAATTCAGTCAATGGGAGCTGAGTGAGCCTGGATCAGCACAACTCTGTGGTCTCCCCTCTGGCCAAGGGGAGAGGCAGGAGCTGCTGGAGGGAGATGCATTTTGCCTATGGAAAATGGGATGAGGGAAGTCCTCATGAGCATCCTCACCACCAGGATGCTGTGCTGTGCCACAGCCAAGATTCCTCTGTGAAGGATTTTCTTCACAGATTGCCTCTTAAAACAGTGAATTCTCACACTGGCTCTTTTTTTCCTTTTTTGCTTTGGCTGTTTTCCTCCCTTCTGCCAGAACTGTGAGCCGTTCCCTGTTCTCACCTGGAAATGAGAAGCAATTCAGTCGGATGCTGCTGCCTAAGCACACTGGGGAAGGCACCAGGTGTTACTTTATATTTCAGGACATCACAGATCCTATTTCTGCCTGGTCTTGGTCAGTACATTACAGCTGGTTCATATTCATAAACGCTTGCAGCTCTCTCTCCTGACACTTGAATCATTTCTGCAAATCAGGTTTCATCTCCTAGCCCATTTCTGAAAATGCAAGGCATGATGAATGTCATCAATGTATTGTGCTGGTTAATGGTGCCTCATGGCAAGAGCAAGGGATGAGCAGGGATGCAATGGGCTCTGGTCAGCTCAACTCCATAAGCATTTATTGATAGACAAACTTATTATATGTTAAATACACATAAATTCTTTGTACGTGGGACCTTAACACCCAGAGTAATGCATTTGCTCTCAGTGTCATAGGGCACTCAAGGTAGATTTTGATGTTTAACACTTAATTGTATATTCTCTAAGTATTAATGAAATGTTTGATGCTCATTCCAGTTCAAGACAATGGCTTCAGATTCAAATTGCACTCATGGTCTCCCTGGCTTCCTTTCCCCAAGGTTTCTGAGACTAATATTAAACTTCTCATTTCTTTCTTGCAGGCTCATGCAGCGTGCACTGCCAAAAACTTTGTCTTTTCTGCAGTGTCTCTTCTAAAACCAAGAAAGAAAAGCTATGGTATTTTTACTTTTACTCCAAACTGTTACAGTTGTAGCCAGAAGATGCTGCTGAAGACACAGCCATCCTGTTCAGGGCACCTTCTGATCTGCTTGAAACTGGGGAGGGGGAAGGAGGGAAACAAATAAGGAGAAAGGCTTAATTGCTAGAGAGCAAGGGCAGAGCTGGTAACTTAGTCTGTGTCATCTGAATCTCTATCTGATGCTTCATCCATCAATCTCATCAAACTGCAGGTACCAAAATGAGATCCTGAGTTAGAGATGAACCTGACCTAAGGTCTGCCCACAGTCCGGGAGGTGAGATGCCTTCAACAGTGATTTGCTGCAGGCTGGTGTGGGCATTTAGGAAAGATGGGATGCCTTCTCTTCAGAAGGAGCCCTCCCCCTTCCCTTGGCCTGTAGAAGACAAGCTCAGGCCAGCTGGCTGACTTCTCATGGCTCATGTGTGGTCCATAGTATCCTAGTTCCCTAGAGATGAATGGTCTGGGTATCCTAGTTGCACATGGTGTAAATTGTCAACTTATCCAATTTCAGCTTAAAAATAATGTAAAAAGGCATCCTTTTCACTGTCCTGTGTCTTTGTGCCCTCTCTCTTGGTAGACACGAGGCCCTGAATGGCAGAGGAGAATCACACCTCGGTGGCCGAGTTCATTCTTGAGGGCCTGACTGACCAACCAGAGATGAAGGCAGCCCTCTTCGTGGTGTTTTTGCTCATATACATCATCACCCTTTTGGGCAACATGGGGATAATCATCATCATCCGAGGTGACCCCCGGCTCCACACATCCATGTACTTCTTCCTTGGCAGCCTCTCGGTGGTGGACATCTGCTTCTCTTCTGTGATTGCCCCCAGGACTCTGGTGAACTTCCTATCGGAGAGGAGGACCATTTCCTTTGCTGGGCTGCACAGGCCAAACCTTCTTTTACATTGTTTTTGTGACCACTGAGTGCTTCCTGCTGGCTGTCATGGCATATGACCGGTACGTGGCCATCTGTAACCCACTGCTCTATTCCTCCATTATGACTCGGAGGCTGTGTGTGCAGCTGGTGGTGGGGTCCTACATTGGGGGCATCCTGAATGCCATCATACAGATGACCTTCATCATCAGGCTGCCCTTCTGCAGCTCCAATGTCATCAATCACTTCTTCTGTGATGTTCCTCCCCTCCTGGCTCTGTCCTGTGCCAACACCTACATCAACGAGATGATCCTCTTCTCCTTAGCTGGTGTCATCGAGCTCAGCACCATCTCCATCATCCTGGTCTCATACATCTTCATCTTCTGTGCCATCCTGAGGATCCGTTCAGCTGAAGGTAGGCAAAAAGCCTTCTCCACCTGTGTGTCCCACCTGACAGCTGTGACCCTGTTGTATGGGACGACAATTTTCATGTACTTGCGCCCCAGCTCTAGTTACTCCCTGAACACAGATAAGATGGTCTCCGTCTTCTACACAGTGGTGATCCCAATGCTGAACCCACTCATCTACAGCCTGAGGAACCAGGTGGTGAAGGATGCACTGAGGAGAAGAGCAGAAAAAATCACTGTTGGGGTCTGAGCAGAGTTAATGACACAGGAGCCGGCGAAGACATTGGAAAACCACAAATGCACACAGTGTCATAGACCAGGACTCAGGCCACCTGGCTGCGAAGCTTTGATTCAGGCTGTGGAGCCTCTGTCCATGCAGGTGTTCCAAACATGTCTGAACGAGGCCATGTGCAATCATTTAGTGTAAGGTCAGCCCTGATTTGAGCAGGAGATGGGATTCTTTTGATCAGAAAGGACATGTGGGAGGCCTCTAGTCCTATGAGTGCCAAGTTATATGCATTCACATGTGTGTGTATCCATAAAAATGCAGCAATTCCATATTATACAACATATTTATTATATTCCTTTGTGTCCACATACACATTTGTTACTGATTTCCTTGTCAATCTCTAGCTGAAATTAGCTATAATACCGAGCTATAGCCCCCTGCTTGGTAAATGAAGGGGTGTGTGATGTGCTGTTGTTGGGTTTATCAGAAAAATGCCTATACCAAAAAAAAAAAGCCAAATAATGTCACAGAACATTTCCTGATCCTGCAGAGTTTAGCAGCATGCCTTGATTTGGGATCAGCATTTCTGCTCCTTAGGGCTAATGTGGGCTGACATTTTCTTGGTAAGAAATTAAAAACATTTATGTTATCCAGAAGGGTTCATGAAGGCAGGACATCCCTCCAGGATTGGACCCAGGATCTGGCTGGGGAGGTGTTTTTTATTTATTTTTTTTTTCTCTTCCCTCACAATTTCTGCCTTTCAAAGGCTTGAAACGAAGCTCTAATTGGCTTACTAATTTATGCCCACAGTGTCTTGTTAGGTACAAAGAAAATATTTTCAGTAGCGGCTGCATCCTGTAATCTTTCACTTCACCATGAGGCAGTGGGGAAAAGGAGTTTTAAAAAAGGGGGAGGGAGGGAGAGAAAAAAGGGGAGGATAATAATAATAAATAATAATAATAATAATAAAAAACCAAAGTATGTACTTCTTACACAAGAAGCAACTCCTGCCACAAATTACAGCTCCCACCTTTCACCATTTTAGCTAGAAACTGCTGTGGGTGCTATGAAATGCTACCATTCCCCGGGTGGGTTTGCCACAATTATTTTTTCCCTGCCCCAATAAACTTTTCTACATTCGTCCAGCACTTCCTCAGTTCAAAGTAATGGGTGTCCCCACAAAGGTCTCTGGAGGGCACTCAGGGAGTTGTCTGAGGAGATGACCGGGGCTCCTACTGGATGAGGACTCCTTAACTTGGTGCGAGTTCTACCGTCAATTGAGGAAAAATCCTCTCCCAAACACATCAACCAGGTGAAACATAACCCACACAGTGATGTGACCTTGGTCAGCACGTAAAACCTTGACCAATTATTTTTAACACTGAAGTCACCACCCTGAAGCTGACTCTCATTGCTGCTGGCAAGGCAACAGGGTGGGCTTGTGCAAATACACCACAGACAAAATGTTGTTACTTGAACGTGCCTTTCCTTCCCAAACTCTGCATTTCATCTGCCACTGAATAAAATCCATTCCTGTGTGCATGTATATGACTTATTGCTTCTGGAAGTGTTGTGCTGTCAGCCCCCAGAGACACACAATGACCGTAGCAGTCTGGTTCAGGTATTAAAAGGGAGCGCTGCAGGGCGGAAATGCTAAATTATTGGCTAGTAAAGTACTGATCAGCATTTCTTGTACGTCGTCACCATCTATTGGGCACTGTTGGAAATATCTACTCCTCCTCCTGTAGCTGAAAACTTTTTTTTTTTTTTTCCTATTAAGCCTTGAGTTACTGAAAGGCTTGGCCTTGAGCAGAAGGACAGAGAAACAGCAAGTAAGTAAAATAGGGCCCTTGTGTTGCCTCCACAGCTGGTGACCCATCACAGAACTGGGAGAGAGGGAAACTTTACTGCTGAAATGAGGTTTTTATTTATTTTTTTAAATTATAATATTTAAAATAATAATAATAATATTTTAATAATATTAAAAAAAAAAAAGTAATTCTTGAGTGAGGCCTCGGGTTAGATAAAATTCAGACTGAATTCACCCTGCCTTACGTATTATTTTTAACCTTGGGTTACACCATGCATTATTTAAAGCAATAATTCCTGATATTTAACTAGTTCTCTCCTGCATGGATCATCATTTCCTGCAGTATAGAACATTCTTAGGATCCATGCAGTCTGTCTTTATTCCTGACGAACCTATTCCAGATTTTACAATAAAAACAAATGGAAAAAAAAATCAGAACAGTTCTCATCAGAGACCAGAGGGGTGCTGGAGGTGTGAGCACAAGGAACACTTGAGTAATTTGAAATCTCTTACTAATGAGTCTTTTCTGCACTTTTAGATAGTTTGGACTATAGGACTTCTAAAACAACAGTGGAACGTTTTAGGTCTATATTTTAGGCATGTTCCCATACCAAGGTTTTGAGGATAGCACTCACACTGAGAGCAGATGAATGACCACCTAAGCAGGACAACACATTGCAGACTGCTCTGCAAGGCATTGCTCTGCAGCCAGGGTCTTGTGTCTATACCTTTGTGGTTGAAGTGTTGGGAAAAACTAACGACGGGCTGCTCAGAGTCAGAGAGTGTCTCACTGAATGGTCTTGCACTGGTTTGCCCAAGAAATGCAAGATCTTATTGAGTCTGAGCAGGTGGCGTAAATGCAGGTCCTTTTCCCATGAGGAAAACCAAGAATATTTGTGCTTTTGCTGGCAGCTAGTTAGCAGAATATTGAACTACTGGCTGTCAGCACGAACAGCGTGGGACCTGAGGCAGGAAGGTATGGGGTTTAGTTTAATTTATCTCCATTCCGGTCAATGTCTTCAAGAAGCGGAGAGGTGTGATTCCTGACAGGGACCTTCAGCTGCCCATTCTGAGATGAAGCCCGTGCCCCTGCTTAATTGTGCAGCTTGGGTCAATCCTCCCGGTGTCCCCATCTCTGTGTCTGGATGCTGCCTCCAGGGTAGGTCCAGCCCTGGCCCCTGCAGCTCCGTTTTCATTAGCTGCAGCCTGTCCCCCGGTTCCTCGTGGGGGTCTCAGAGGCACCGCTTCCCCTCCGGCAGTGGGAAAAGTGTCTCTAAATCTCCATTAATAATAACGTGAGGCCAGACACATTGCTTGCAGGACATCTGATATTAGGTGTCTGGCTCCGGAGCGGAACCTCTCCCCTGAGCAAAGTGTCATAAGATCATTCTAAGTGTGGATCTGCTTGTCAGGTTCCAGATAAGATGCACTCTCTCTCTGCTCTCTGGTGTAACGCTGTCAAGTGATGATTAATGTTATCCAGGAAAAAAAATCAATGATTTTTTATTCCATCCATTGCAGACTGTCATTTTAGGAGCTGCAGCTTTCTCTCTAGTGAGCAGGGAGTCTGAATTTATCTTTTACCTCTGGTTTCAGCATCAAGTCCAAAACAAAGCCCAGCAAGACAAGCCCTGGCTCCTATTACTGTCCCACCTTATATGAGGACATGTTACTGTTGGGAAAGGTTGTATTTTCCAGTGCTTTCACCCAGATGCAGTCTTCCTGAGAGATCTGCTGCCTGAATTCACAGGTGTGCTCACGCTGGCCGTGGAGCACCCATCCAGCTCTGATGCTGGATGGAGGGGTGTTCCTGTCCTTGTCAGAAAAGACAGGGCAGATATGACCACATTTAAGCACACAGCATGCTTTAAGTTAGATGTATTTAAGCAGAAATGATGCTTAAACTGCAATCTTGATGTGAGTGTGATCTATGTATGACAGGTCTGAACCAATATAGCCAGCTGGTGGATGTTGCATGCATGCTTTGTTATATGCTGACCTGTTAATTTTACTTTCTCCTTTTCTTTGGTTATGTGAAGCTGTACAAATTTGTACAACAATTAAATCCATTTTCCTGATGCTTTTGCGCAAACTGGGGGCCAGCAGTAGGGCCCAGGCCATGAGCTGCACCACAACGTCTCCAGCAGCTCCATCGTTTTATGAGGCGAAGTGGCTCCAGGAGGTCCCATCCAGGAGATGCCTTGGCTAAGGAGCTGCCTGTCTTTGTACCTAGCCAATGACTGCATTTCATCACTTTCTTTTAGAGAAGAATTCACTAGTTACTCTTCCAAAAGCTTCCAAATTTCTGTTGCCTGCAGTAAGTCTGTACGGGGAGCTCAAAGGGTGGACCACTGCAAAGCCACAAGGAACTGGACGTCTTCTCCTAGGACTCTCCTGAGGGAGCTTATAAGCTTAAGTAGTAGGATGTGAGACTCCATTTTAGTGCAATATCTCACATTTTTTTTATTGTCTCTATCTGCCTCTTCTGCTGCTGATGTTTTTACAGTGTGTATGACTGTGCAACATGCCCTTATGGAGATGTCCTTACAGCATGGTTACCAATTATATTTGAAACTTGGGCTCCTCCAAAGAGGTACACAAACTGTAATGCTGAAGTTTGAAGTTCCTGAAGAAACCACCACTTTCACTGGTCTGATCTTTTGCAAAATGGAGGCCAGAAATACTCACCTTTTTGCTGGTGAGCATGTATATTCATCTATCACTGTACAGAAGACTGGCCTTGGGAACCTGAGGCTTTCTAGAAATCACTCAGAGATTTATATTGACTTAAAGCTTTGTGGCTGGTAGACAAGAATTAACATTCAACATTGTTGACAGACTTGGGCCTATTAAACATTGCCATTTGAAAGATGTACTGCAGGTACACTGATTGTATACTCAGTATGGTTGAAGATAATTCTACATTTGCACCTGAGTTCTTTCTCCTGGGCTTAACAAGCCAAGAAGACCTGCAGATTATATGCTTTGTCTTATTCCTTGCCATCTATGTGGTCAGCCTAGTGGGAAATCTGGGGGTGATCACATTAATAAGAATTGATTCTTGCCTGCACACACCCATGTACTTCTTCCTTAGTCATTTGTCTCTCCTGGATGCCTGCTACTCTTCCACCATCATCCCTCAGGCCTTGCTGAACTTTTTGGTGAAGAGGAAGGCCATCTCCTTCACGAGGTGTGCTGCTCAACTCTTCTCCTTCGCCACCTGTGCCACTGCTGAGTGCTATGTTCTGGCTGCCATGGCTTATGACCGCTACGTGGCGATTTGCAACCCGCTGCTGTACCCTGTGGTCATGTCCCGGCAGCTCTGCATCGGGATGTTGGTGGGTGCCTACCTGGCTGGAGTGCTCAGCTCGGCCATCCACACGGTTTCCATATTCCATCTCCCGTTCTGCCATTCCAGGAGGATCAACCACTTCTTCTGTGATGGCCCGCCACTGCTAGCCCTCTCCTGCTCCGATGCCTGGCTCAGCGGGGTGGTGGTTTCTGCTGTGGTGGGCTTCAATGTGCTAAGCACCACGGTCTTCATCCTGGTCTCCTACTGGCTGGTTCTGTCCGCAGTCCTGCAGATCCGCTCCATAGCCGGGCGGCACAGAGCCTTCTCCACCTGTGCCTCTCACTTGGTCTCCGTCACTTTGTACTACGGCAGCTCCCTCTTAATGTACATGCGCCCCAGCTCCACAGCCACCTTGGACCATGACAAGGTGGTCTCTGTGCTGTATGCGGTTGTAGTCCCCATGCTGAACCCTCTGATCTACAGCCTGAGAAATGCAGAAATGAAGAAAGCCATCAGGAAAGCACAAGGTAGATTGCTCTCCTTGCTGCCTATCAGAGGTCTCATCAGGGCCAGCTGAAATGAGAGAGCTAGGGAGGCTTCAATATTACTTCCAATTACACACCTTCCAGCAGCAATTATTTAGCTATTAACAAAAATAATAACCAACTTCATTTCATGCTTCAGAGAGCCAAAGGGAGGACACAGGCGCTGGCTCTGTCCCACACCTTGCTGCTGTTGAGATCAAATTGGTCCATGTCTGCTTGCTCCTGTCTTCCGTTAATGACTGACAAATTTCCTGGCAATATGAGGCTGTTAACTGAATTTTCCAGCAGTTGGCTTGAGACCATGAATTTAGGTCACATGAAATAATGCTCTGACAGTGGTTTTTGTGTGAAATAATCATTGAAGTCTGGTATTGTTTTGCTTTGTTTCCCTAACTTCAACTGCAGGCTATTTTTTCCCTGATTCACATTGCTTTTCCTATTTCATGAGACTTAGATTTTAGCCTAGTATTGAATGGGGACAAAGCAAATTAAAGAAAAAAGAGATGGGAAACTTTTTTCTACCCAGTTCTGGTACATTGCCAGAACTGACAGTCTGGTGCCTTCCAGAAGAAAAACAAATTGACATAAAAACAAACAAACAAACAAACAAACAAAACAAAACAAAACAAAAAAACCCACACATTTAAAACCACCTACATGTTTCTCCATCTCGCTTCCCCATCTTTACACAGTTTGGTGTTCTCTTCTGTCTGCCATTTCTTCTGTATTTTCTAGGTGTCTGGTACAAAATTATAATCTAATATTTGTGCTGTTTTATAACGTCTCTTCATACAGCAGAAGCTTTCAGGAACATCATCACTCAGACTTTATTAGAGTAAATGTAGGAAGTCTGAGCTAATTTTGATGCATCTTGAAAGCAGCTGTGCAAAATGCTTTTGAGCAAAGAGCGTGCCATGTGGTCACCACTGACATGTACGGAAATATATCAGCTGAGAGGGCTCTCCGTGTCAACAGTCCAGCAATTCATGCAGCAAATGCTCTGTTAGGTTTGTTTTCAGCAACCTTCAGTGCAACGTTAGATCAGCAACCAGCTTTCCCTGTTGCTTATAAAAGGGTTCTGCAGCAAAAGTTTGTGATATCTGGGGATAAATAAAAAGCAAACTGCCCTGGGATTGTCTTCCAGTCTTTTCCTATCTGACTCATGTTTTCTGAGTTTTCTGCCTTGGAGCATTAACCATTCCGAGCAGAGCCTGCTTAGGCTTTCCTGGCAGTCAGTGGACACATTGGCCTCCTGAAGGGATGGTTCAGATTTTGAATCTCTTCTGCAACCAAGTTAATGCAGGAAGGTACCAAAAAATAATTCAGGCTTGACTGTAATGGTTGCTGCTGACCTGGTGTCAAGAAATGTGTTTAGATGAATAATATAGAAGGTATTTAGTGTAGGTATGTGAGATCCAGCTTTCATCTTCATACTGTGTGGGAGCACTTTTGAAATTGCTACGCTCTGTCTGACAGAACTATTATTTACCACTTAACACGTCACAAATACTTCTCAGCCCTTTCTGGTGCACCAGCAGTTTAGGTTCAGGGAGAAATCTGAGCATTTTGTTGGGAGATGAGTGCCTCGGACTGATGGGATACATGTCCAGACCCCACTGATGCCTTCTGCTTGATGCTTGAGTGTTGGGATGTTTATGATGATGGAGAGGCAGCCCGATATGTGTTTGAGTCATGAGCTGAAGGACCAAACACAGCCTCTGGGATGCTTCCACTTGAAGTTTGAGGAAATAACCAAAACAAATATTTCTGTTTGCTTATTACTGAGAGTTTTATGTCTCAAGAGCAAGCACATTAATATGAAAGCTGTCATTAACAAATAGATTTCAGATCACATGGGTCTTCATTGTTTCTCAATATGACAACTTAGTTATAAACAACTGAATTTGAAAACATTTCAAACTATTTTTCCAAGCCCTGGTTCAGTCCAATATTGAAAATAATACTAATTACAGTGCATCCCTGCTCTCCTATGCTTCAGACTTGGCATTACTCAGGGAGCAAGTCCCAAAGGTCAGCAAATGACATCTCCCTTATAAACACACATACATCTGCCTTATAACCATGCTTATATAAGGCTCAGAAAAATAATTATTTGCAGACACTTGCATTAAAAAAATATTTGCATCTCGCCTGTACATCCCTACTGAAAGAGCTGGACTCTACAGCTTTCATGCCATGGCTTTGGTGACACAGATCAGATGCCTGTTTTGAAGATGCTGCTGGACAGACTTGATCTCTTTGCTTAGGAAAAGGGTAAGAACCGCTCTGTTGTAAAGACAGACTGGTGGAAGCCCCTTAGTGGCAACTTGGGAATGAAATAAGCTCCAGAACAGCTTTTCAGCCCTAGGCCACCTGTAGCTTCATTTTCTTTGTCTTACCACACTTCAGGAAAGAGCTGGAGGCACGAGTAGAATCATCTGTGTTGGAAAAGACGTACAAGATCGTCAAGTCCAACCTTCAAAGAGAGTAAAGAGAAAAGATTCTGGAACAAGTGAGCACAGGGATGTACAACTGAGAAAGGGGGGTAGATAATAGAGGACTTTGGGGGTACTTTTGTTTATACCTTGTAGATTTTATAATTGTTTTGTTTTCCAGTGGTCAAGTAGCATATAAATAAAATAAAATAAAATAAAATAAAATAAAATAAAATAAAATAAAATAAAATAAAATAAAATAAAATAAAATAAAATAAAATAAAATAAAAACAATTGCAAATGCACAGCTTTGTGTCAAAATGAATAGGCTGTACTCCAACTGGTAATGATATAGAAGAACACTGATTCTGTCTGGTGAAAAAAAAAAAAAAAAGAGAGAGAAAAAAATCTTTAAAATTTCCAGAAAGCAGTAGTGGGAATTCCTAGCTTCTCTCTTTTGCACATTATGGATTGTGATTATTTGATTTGTTACACTTGAATAAACTTTATGGCTCCTTAGTATATCCTATATAAATCACAGCAGTATTTATTTGCTTTTAATACCTGTGTAATTATAGCTTTCATTTGGCTAAAGACAGAGTCACCTTTTAATTTTCTAAAAATTATACCACTTTCTATTGCATTTACTGTATGGGTGCAGCTGTGATTCTTCCACAGTATTTCTCTCTCGGAGTTTTTTTTCACTGATCCGTTTTATTTCTATGCAATTTCACCATAATTTAATGTGACAGAACGAGGGGGAACGGGCTAAAGTTGCACCAGGGGTGTTTTAGGTTGGGTATTAGGAAGAACTTCTTTACCGAAAGGGTTGTTAGACACTGGAACAGGCTGCCCAGGGAAGTGGTGGAGTTACCATCCCTGGAAGTCTTCAAAAGACGTTTAGATGTAGAGCTTAGGGATATGGTTTAGTGGGGACTGTTAGCGTTAGGTCAGAGGTTGGACTCGATGATCTTGAGGTCTCTTCCAACCTAGAAATTCTGTGATTCTGTAATAAAAATATGGACAGTGAAAACGTCACGGCTTTGTCCGGCTTCATCCTCTTGGGATTCTCTGATGTTCCAGAGCTACAAACACCCATGTTCATTATTTTCTTGTCATTGTACACGTTATTGGTGATGGGGAACCTGATGCTGATGCTGCTGATCAACACTGACCCCCAGCTGTACACGCCCATGTATTTCTTCCTGACGCACTTGTCCTTCATGGACTTCTGCCTTTCCTCTGCTGTCATCCCCAAAGCCCTGGAGACCTTCCTGTTTGGGACAAGCAACATCTCTTTTGTGGGCTGCTTTGCCCAGATGCATGTTTTCCTCATGCTTGTCATCTGTGAGTGCTTTCTCTTGGGGGTGATGGCTTACGACCGGTATGCGGCCGTGTGCCAGCCACTGCACTACACCGCCCTCATGTCCCGGGCACGTTGCTACAGGATGACCATGCTGGTGTACGCCACAGGCTTCCTAACCTCGCTGGTACACACGGTGCTGGCGGGGAGGTTGGCTTTCTGCCGGGCGAGGAGCATTGACCACTTCTTCTGCGAGCTGCCTGCCCTCCTGCACCTCTCCTGCTCCAGCACCCGCCCCAACCACATCCTGCAGGTCTGCAGTGCTGAGCTCAACATCTTGGGCTCCATCCTGGTGATCCTGGCATCCTACACCTGCATCCTCTACACAGTCCTGCGGATGCCTTCTGCAGGGACGCGGATGAAGGTGTTCTCCACCTGCACCTCCCACCTGGCTGCCGTCACCATCTTCTACGTGCCGGGGCTGGTCACCTACATGCTGCCCAGCAAAGCCAGACCACAGGGCGAAGAGAAACTGGTTTCTGTCTTCTACACTGCAGTGACCCCCTTGCTCAACCCCCTGGTCTACAGCCTGAGGAACAGGGAGGTGAAGGGGGCTCTGAGGAGGCTGTGGGGCCAAAGGCTGTTCCCACATGTGCACTGACTTTGAAGCCGCATTGGGAGCTCTGCAGCGCTTTGGTGGTAATGAAGGAACATTCATGGCATTATTGTTGAGCTTACGGACAGGGAGATCACACAGCAATAACAGGTACAGAGTACCACACAGCAAATCATCCACTTCAAACAATCACGATGCATTTTAATCATGGCATGAGCCTTCAATAGTCCGTCAGAATAATTGTCAGCGCTTGCGCAGCAAAAACAACATGGTACCCTGATGTTTTGTGTATAGGTCATGCTAAATGAAAATGTGGCCAGATAAAGGGATGCTCATATTGGAAGTGAAGACTTTCTGATGTTTTCTTTTCCTGATTAGCAAGTTTTTATGCCCAAACTGCAGATGTGCAAATGAGCTGGAAGAGCTGAGGGTGTGTTTACGTCAGTGATGTGTGGAGATGGGCAGCTTGCTCCAGGCTCTGATTTTCTCTAGGAGCTTTTTGCTTGGACAGCACCTAGTTAACAAATTGCATTTTGCAGGAAGGTCTCGGGTCTTTCCCTCCTTGGGGGCTGCCCCAGTGACCACAGCACAGGTCTTTGCTCCTGCCTGTGCCCTGCGGAGCCCCCCCATGGAAAGCTGCCAGGGACATCATGAGACCATGGGCATCCAGGTCAAGGTAAAGACGTGGACTAAAGTGCAGATTTTCCCTGCTGTATAGAAGAAAAATCAGAAACCACAAAGCCATGGCATTGGCTCAGGGGAATTGTATCTGTACTAACAACTTGCCATGGGCACATGTAGATTAATTAGAACATTGCCAGAAGCACGTCCCAATCAAAATCTTCACATAGATCTTCTTGGGATGTGTTTTTGTTTGTTTGTTTGTTTTGTTTTTACATCTACTTATCTTTTCTTTTTGGATAATTAGAGGCTCAAATTCTTTGTGTGGCAATCTCTGAACAACACCTGACAGAATTATGTCTCTTCTGCAGGGTGCAGCATGACTGGGGTGAAAGGTGTTCTAGAGAGAACAGTAGGCAGAAAGATTTTTTTAACGTTTAATCAAGACATGCCCTATATGTTCAATGAACTATACAATTTATGGAAGAATGTGTACAACCATTGTTGCTTGTATAAATGCTGAAGTGAATAAATACTGACTCATTTAAATAAGCATCTTTATAAACTATGTTTTTTTTGTTGTTGTTTGTTTGTTTGTTTGTTTGTTTTTTCCCTAAAAGAGTCATAATGAAGAACGAACAAATGAATGAAATGGCAACCAGTTAAAACCACTATAGAGCTTTTAAACAAACCTTGCGGTGGAGCTTGTATGAAAAACAGAGGCATTTGGGCAAATCCCCACAAGACAGAGAGGGGGGCTGCTGAAATGCTTATTCGGGGTGACTCAGGATAGTGGGGCGAGAACTGTCACACACAGCAGAGGAGCTCGGCGCTCCTTTCTACTCCATCCTTCCACCCATGGTGCAGAGGAACAAATCAGAGGAGGTGAAGCGCAGTGCTGGACCTGTTTAGGGTGCTAGGTGGGAAAAAAAAAAAAACACAGTTCCTCTCTCACTGGGACATCAGAAAGGGCAGCCACGGTCATTGCTCCCACCTGGGGCATCCTCCTTCAGCCAGATGTCCACATGTCTCTTCACTACCTCCAGGGATGGGGACTCCACCACCTCCCCAGGCAGCCCGTCCCAATGCCCAACCACCCTTTCAGTGACTAAATTCTTCCTGACCTAAACCTCCCCTGGAACAACTTGATGGCTCCCCAACAGCAAAACGCATGAACTGCTCCTCATGCTGAGCAAGACCATCTAGTGTCCAAGCTGAGAGTAACACAAGGTTTTGTGAAAGGGTTTACAAAGATTGTTGGTTTGTTTTCCTGGTGTTGCCTCTTGTGAAGTGAGCCCTGCTAAGCTGGATGCTCCGGGCAGATTTTACTTTACTCTATGTAATTCATCCACAATGCAGACCTTTACAGCTAAGAAAAAATAAAATAAAATAAAATAAAATAAAATAAAATAAAATAAAATAAAATAAAATAAAATAAAATAAAATAAAATAAAATAAAATAAAATAAATAAAAAGTTGGGTTATTGTAATAACCAATGCAGTGGTTATGCTTAGGTCATGATCCCCATGGCCATCAAAATAAATCATGGATCACTCAACTATTTAGCATCTTGATAAATACACCAGATCACAACATGTAGACTTACTGCCCTTATCACCTGCTCACTCAGTGTCTCTGCTCCCTTTCCCTTTCCTTACTTTCCATGGCACATCCTCCTGGAAGAAAATGAGATTATTTTCTTGTAGTTTGCAGAAATGAGGCTTTTTCTGGTAATACCTCCACAAAGCCCTCCAGTTCTTGAGCTTGCTCCTGGAGGGAATCACTGCTTGAATTAGTGCAATTTCTTATGAAACTAAGGCTAAGAGGGAGAATCCTTTTGAGCTTATTTGTACCACCTTCTCTGATATTACCTAATTTCTGAATAAAGCAAGAGATGACAAGGAAATGCTTATGTGAGCCGTGGAGACTGGATGTTGGGTAACACGGAGTCTCTGCAAAATTTAAAGCAGGGTTAAAATTTGCTGCATCTGTTTCTCTACAAGTATGTGACTCCTTACTACTCTGGAGAGCCAACGCAAACCTCTTGCCTCTTTCCTTTTACATCAGCTGATCGGGGTCAACTTGGTCAGTGGGCAGCTCGCAAAAATGTTTTTTGCTGTGGCTCTTCTGAGCACATCCTTGACCTCCTTGTTCCTCAAGCTGTAGATCACAGGGTTAAGCATAGGGACAACCATGGTGTAAAACACAGCGGTGACTTTCTCCATTTGCAGCGAGTATTTGGAGCCCGGCTGCATGTGGCTGAGTCCGGCGGGCACGTAGAACAAGGTGACGGTCAGCAGGTGGGATGCACAGGTGGAGAAGGCTTTGTGCCTGCCTCTGGCAGACCTGATCCTCAGGATGGAGACGAGGATGTATGCGTATGAGATGATGATGATGAAGAGCACGGACATGGAAATGGTCCCATTGAAGGTTACGAGCAAAAGCTCGTTGAGGTGGTCGTCAGCGCAGGTGAGTTTCAGCAGAGGGTTGGTGTCACAGAAGTAATGGTTGATGACATTGGGCCCACAGAACGGCAAGGGCAGCAAGCAGCACGTTTGGGTTAGGGAGTTCAAAATCCCCCCCAGGTACGACCCAGCCACCAGCTGCACACAGACTCTCCTGGGCATGGAAACAGCGTAGAGCAGGGGGTTGCAAATAGCTACGTAGCGGTCGTATGCCATCACAGCCAGCAAGAACACCTCTGTGGTCACGAACACGAGAAAAAAGAAATGCTGGGTGAAGCAGGCAGAGTAAGAAATGGTTTTATTTTCAACCAGGAAGACAATAAGCAGCCTGGGACAAAAGACAGAGGAGTAGCAAAGATCAACAACAGACAAATTGCAGAGGAAGAAGTACATGGGAGTGTGCAGCTGGGGGGTTGTCGTGATCAGAGTGATGAGCCCAAGATTGCCCATCAGGGTGATGAGATAAATCACTGAGAAGACTATGAAGAGAGGAGTCTGCAGCTCGGGCTCACTTGTCAGTCCTAGGAGGATGAACTGGGTCACCACGGAGCTATTGCCTTCAGCCATATCACCATGTATCAGAGCAGCGTACCTGTTGGAAGGAGGAAAAACTGGGAAGTATGGAAGAGCAATAGCATGGCTTGCATATGATGCTGCTATCAGCAAGTACCTTATGTTGACTGCCCATTAAAAGTACAAAGCTTTGATAGTCGAGGCACCAGCTAACTCTGGTTAGGTTCCCAGCAAGCCCCCACGGGCAGAGCAACTCACACAAAGCCCTTCAGAAGCTGCGTTTTGTCCTCTTTAGTCATGAGGCTGAATTTAAAAATGAGTTTTCCTTTTCAGAAAAAAAAAAAAAAAAGCCAGTAATGCATGATTCGAAAAAACATTTGGAGATGCTGTGGTGGATTTGTGAGGACTTTACAAATGTGCTGCCTTTCCCCACGAGAAGGCTCAGCATGCCAGGGTCATGAAGTCGCGGGATGGAGTAACTTCTCCCTAACCACTGAGAGAAAGGAACGTCCCCCAGCCAGTGTGGGAATTCAGAGAAATGGGGTTTTGTTACACTTAACGTGTGTCTGCTCCAGCTCAATTAGTATTTACATGTTTTTTCTCCTCCCAAGATGGGCATTTTCAGGCTGGGCTTCAGCACTGCAGGACAAAGATGTGACTTGTACATAATATGTATTTAGCAGAAATCTGTTAATTGTATCCATGGAAATCCAGGCGGTGAGGAAGAACAACAAAAAAAAATTAATCATGTATGAGAAGGCTCCATATGATAGAAAGAAAATTAGTGCCTTCACTTTTCAAACCACAAAACACCATGCACGTTGTATTTTTCTAATCAAGACCCTCCCGTCCCCATTACTCACTCTTTCTAGTAGAGCACAGCAGCTTTCAGGAATCCTTCCTATGCCTGGAAGCCTGGTTCCTGGTATAAAAAGCTGTTCTCATGTTAATTAACAATAAGATGATTGTGATAAACTGCAGTGGAAAGCTTTGTGTAGGGAAACGTAGGGAAAAAGACAAAGGTAGTGGAATGAGATGACCCAGAAGGCAGGCAGGTGGGTGGTACTTGAGATGAACAGCAAGGAAAGAGGGGCCCTAAATCAGAAGCTCCTTGAAGCAAACTTGTGCCACTGCATCAGGAAAACCTCCTGTGTGGCTCAGCACCCTCATTCCCCTCCTTCTGCTTCTCTGCAATACTGAGGCCTCTCCCTAAAGCTCAGCTCTCTCATAATTTTCAAGACCCTTGCTCTCCCTTATTAAAGGCACGATTAGCACCTACCCAACTCGAGCGTGCTGCTGTTCTCTCTACAGCACATTGCCCCGAAGCATGGCAGGATGCCGGGGGCAATGCCTGGTGGTTCTGCTCATGCACCAGGCATCAGTGAATGTGTTACTTAATCACCTGCGTTGTAGTGGTTCCCACCAGGGAACCCAAATTTGTAGATCTATTGCCACATCCCACTTTTCCCACATGCAGCTAGAGCCCTACTTACCGTTCCATAGCAGACACCGTTCTCAGTTCACAGATCCCTTCATGAGTTGCCAACAACCACAGATAGCTGCTAGGGTATTTCTAGGTTTTGGCTGCAGCTGCTTTTCCCTTCCACTAAATGAACGTTTTCCTGAGTGCACCTGAACATCCTTACCACATGGAAAATCCACCCCACCCTAGTGCTGGGACCAAGTTCTCTCTCTCCCAAACAATGATCAATATTCCATCGGGAGTTGTTCCAGGCACTGCTGCATGGTTTTATTCTGCTGAGAGAAAAATCCCCCTGGCCAAAAATCCCCCAGAACCAAAAGTTGTGCTGATTCCTCACAGGCTGAGACCTGTGCAGGTCTCCCAGGCTGCACGGCTCCTGCGTGTGGCTCCATAACATGCTCCTACCCTTGTCTTCCCTCTGTCTGCTCTATTCATTTTATGTGTTCAGGGCAGCTCTTCAAACATTTTCTCTGAGATTTTGTCCCAATCAGATGGTGACGCCTACATAGGAAGCCTCCAGGTAACACCTAGTCATTAGAATTTCAGATGTACGGAAAATGTAGAGTCCAGGTATATTTTGCTAAGCTTTTGCTCTGTATCAATAATCTTACAAGCTTGAATGCTGTGTGATTTAACCTTATGCTGGATTTGAAGCGTGTGCCTACATTCCTGCTTTCCCTGCGTAACACTGCGCTCTTACCTGGTATCCAAACGTGTTTCTGCGATTTGCACACCAAACGTGCACGTTGTCCTAAGGTAGAGAAGAAGAAACGGGATCCATTTTTCTCCATTCTTAGAAATATTCTGATGTTAGACGTGGAGGGAAGTTTGCAGATGCGCCGCTGAGAAGCCAGGCAGAACGGCCACAGCAGCCTTTTGACCAGGGCGGGTTACGCAGCGTCCCCAAGGGCTTGTGCAGGGGGGCAGCTGCGGGGTTTATTTACTCCTTTGGCTCTCATTGATAAAATCCCCAAAGTAAATCGCAGCTCAGCAAAGTTTCATGCCAACCACAAAGGGGATCATTAGAAACTCTCGTAAGAATCTGGGTAAGCATGGACTTGGATCTGGTCTCCCCCGGCTAACCATGTGGAAAGTGCTCATTAATGTTTGTTTGCTCAGTGCTGGTGTGGATGGGGTGAGATGGGTTGGGGGGAGGAACCTTCATTTTGGCAAAGCCACAAAGGGAAATAAGCTATATGAGTATGACAAATAAAGCTTGATGGGATGCCGAGGTTGGGCAGGCGTGCTCCCCAATTCCCGTGTTAGGAAGATGGCTCCTAGAGAAGTGGAAGTCTGCTCAAAATGGAAGCGACTACTTCTGGGTGCCTGCCTGAAGGCACCTATCGGGGACATAGATGCCCAAGCTCCTTATAATTTAATCGAGTCTGATCTAGCTCTCCAAGCTGCTTCTGCAGGCAGTGAAGGAGAAACACATTCCACCCTGAAAATGCATCAGAGGATGCGTCCCATCTGTGACTGCAGATCAGGTTCCTAACATTTAGACAAGCAAATGAGAACAGATTTGTAATTGCTAACAGGTGTGGGTTTGTTTTGCTTTCTGTAGTTTCTTCATTTTTGGGCAGAGGTTACATTTGTTCCCTTCACCATGAGATCTTCCCCGTGATTTAAGATGCAGCAGTGCCCGCAGCCAAGGAGATTGGCACTGGAACCTTTGTCAAATCCCCCAGACTGTGGTTTTGAACACACCAAAGAGCATGTGAGTAACAAGGCCTTTCCAGCCCAAGCAGTGACTATTTGGCAGCTATTAGGTGTAACATTAGCTTTGAGCACTGTACGTAGCCAGAGCACTTCGAGCACCTGAAGCTTCAGATCAATTTCCCTACTGAGTGGTGGAGGAGGCTTAAAATTAGGGTTATTTTAACAATGTTGATAGAATCCCCCTCTGAAACAAGCCTGGTTTCTTGTAGTATAAGTTTGTAAAGAGCTAACCCACAGATCTGTTGTCGACAAATCTTTCAAGTCACTGTTAACACCTGGATTAAAACATGGATTTCCTGTGTTCAGGCCTGAGCTTGATTTGTTGCCTTTTGTCATTAATGAGTTTCCTCATGAAAAATGAGATTTTACTTTACCTGTGCAACCTTCAGCAACAAGGTTTAAGCTATCACTCCAGAGAATTTGGTAAATGTATTTGTATATAAATTTTATTCCGGAAAGAAAAAAAAAAAAAAAAAAGCACATTGTTTTGACAAGTAAAAGGTTATGCAAAATACAGAACAAAATTAAAAAAAAAAGGCATTGTCTTTTTTCTCCTTGGTCTGGGATCTATGTCTCTGTGTGCACAATGTGGAAGGATGTGTTAAGAAATCAAGGGGCTGAGGTTTCCATTTTAGGTTTATTGACATTTTTCTTATTAAACATAAAATTGAGCCTAGCAGGGAGATTCAGGGTTGGAGAGCTGCAGTTTCAGGTCAGCTTGTCCTCGGTTTATGCATTAAGAGCAGGGCAGGGCTTTGGAATCCGATACAGATTTTTTTCCTTTTTTTTAAATAAAAAGGAAATTAAAAAATGACAGTAAGGGAAGGAAGACAGTACCTGAGGTCCTCACTAAAGGGAGAAGCTTACCTCATTATTTCAAGTCTCCTCCCAATTCCACCTTGCCTTCCATTCATGTCTCCCCATTTTCTGCCTTTGCTGCTTGCACCTTACCTCTTTTTAGATGAGCCATGTCAGGGAGAAATCTCTCCTCCGATACCTGTGCCTGGTTCACTCTGTAGGTGCTCAGCTTTTTACCTCTCAAATCAAAAGGGGATTTGTGGTTGGATGTCACCTCCCGTCCCTGAGGCCTCAATGTCAAAGCCTCCAAGCGACAGAGGCTGCAGCTGAACTGCTGAATGCAGCCCCCTCGTTCCTCACCCGCCACCTTCTCACCCTGCCAGCTCCCCCCAGCTGCAGATCTCAGCCCTCTTTGCCTCCCAGCCCCGTGTCTTACTACCGCTGCTGAAGCACTCGCATCTTTCACTAGCCTAGCCTTGTCAGAAGGACTTTGACAGCAACCTACCAAGCAGTGACACACAGGACAGAGAGACAACTGTTTGTTATTAGCCAAAAATTCCCGGTTGAGCACAAAAACTAACGGCTGGGGTTTGAGTCTGGTTATTTCCCCTTTTTGAACTTGGCTGCGGCATTGTTGGTCTTGGCTTTCTTCTTCGCCGACCCCTTGGGCTCAGGCTCCTTGCGCTTGGCTGATGTGATGGAGCCCGTCACCTTGAAGAAGTCATCCAGCCGGCCCTGCGTGCTGCCCTGGCGGCTTTTGCTCAGCCTTTTGACGCCGTTGCGGACGCGCTCCTCGTTGAACTGCTTCTCCACGCACATGAACTGGACGAGCTGCTCTTCAGTTCGGCTCCGTCCACTTCAGCTCAACGTCGTCGGGGTTGACCACGTCCGGCTCTAGGAAGAGCTTCTGGGCCTCTTTGTGCAACCAGTTCTCGGGCAGAGGGTACTTCTTGGTGTCTATGTGCTGAACGATCGCCTCAATGGTTTTGTGCTGCCTGATGAGCTCAACGGCCCGCTTGGGCCCGATGCCGCGGATGCTCTCGCAGTAGTCGCAGCCCAGGAGGATGCACAGATCCACGAACTGTTCCCAGGTCAGATCGAGGTCCTGCAGGATACGGTTCAGGTGGAACTCCTGGATGGGCAGCTTCTTAGCCTCGCTGGCGGTAAGATGCCGCATCAGCACGGGACTGCCGAAGGTCAGGCAATCCATATCTTCCGTGGCGGCCGCGTAGACCTTCCCCGCCTTCACCAGGGTGGCACAGCTGGCTTCTGCCTCCCCCGGCGCCTCCACGTAGGGGATGCCCATCAGCATCAGCAGCTTCTTGCACTCATCGGTGTGCTGCTGGGTCACCTTGACCAGCCTCTTGCTGAACTTCTCGATGTTGGTCTCCTCTCCGGCCTGCTGGGCCTCCTGCAGGTGCTTCTCGGCCTCGGCCCGGCGCTCGGTCCTCTTGGCCAGCTCCCCCGACTTGAGCTGCGGCGGCTTGCCGTCGAAGACGTACACGGGCTTGATGCCGTTCTCCACCATGCGGATGGTGCGGTAGAACATGCCCATCAGGTGGCTGGTGGTCTCGCCCTCCTCGTTCTGCAGCACCTCGGCGCCCTGCCGCACGGCGATCAGGAACTGGTAGATGCTCATGGAGGCGTCGATGGCCACTTTCCGCCCGAAGTACGCCTTGATGTCGTTCTCGCGGATGGCGCCGGGCGCCACGTCGGCGATCAGCTTGGCCAGGCCGTGGATTCCCATCCTGCGGGGCACAGGGGCTGCGCTCAGCTCCCGTGGGGACTGGGAAGGGACAGGGGGATGGGGATGGCCCCCCACAGCACCGGGAGTCTGTGCCCTGCGGGCTGCAGACCCCGGCACTGGTCCCGGTCCCGGTTCCAGCCCCCAGCCCTGGCCCTGATCCCTGCTCCCAGTCCTTGGTACTGGTCCCGCTCCCAGTCCCTCGTCCTGGTGCCAGCCCCCAGCCCTGGTCCCGCTCCTGTTCCCAGGTCCTGGCTCCCGTTCCCAATCCCAGTTCCAGCCCCTGGTCCTGGTCCTGTTCCCGGTCCCATTCCTGTTCCCGGTCCCTGTTCCCATGTCCTGGTCCCATTCCTGTTCCAAATCCTGGTTCTAGTCCCCGGCCCCGGTCCCTGGTCCTGGCCCTGGTCCTGTTCCCGTTCCCGGTCCTAGCTCCCGGTCCCGGTTCCAGTCCCTGGTCCCAGCCCCGCTCCCATTCCTGTTCCCAATCCTGGTCCCGGTCCCTGCTCCCAGGTCCCTGTCCCCGTTTCCAATCCCGGTACCAGCCCCTGGCCCCGGCCCCGTTCCCGTTCCCTGGCCCCGGCCCTGGTCCTGCTCCCGGTCCCAGCTCCCAGTCCTGGTCCCAGTTCCAGCCCCCGGCCCCATTCCTGGTTCCTGTTCCCAGTCACAGTTCCCGGTCCCAATCCCGGTTCCAGCCCCCAGCCCCTGTCCCGTTCCCGGTCCCGATTCCGATCCCAACCCCGGTCCCGGTCCCGGCCCCGGCCCCGGCCCCGGCCCCGGCCGCGCTCCCCCCTCCGCCATTACCCTGCCGGTGCCGCCGCTCCCGCGCTGAGCCGCGCCGCGCGCCGGAGCCAATGAGCGGCGGCTCCGTCCCGCCGCGCCCCGCCCCCCGTCCCGGCACAGCTCCGCTTCCGCTTCCGTTTCCGCTTCCGCTTCCGGCGAGGGGCGGGCGGCGGCGGGAGCCGGGGCGACGTGTCGGGAGCGGACGGGACGGGCCCGGGAGCTGGGGCGGCATGGTGCGGGCGGCATCGGGACCGGGAACCGGGAATGGGAACGGGGCCGGGAACCGGGATCTGACTGAAGGGAACCGGCACCGGGGGCTGGGAACTGGGAACTGGGGCCGGGGAGGAGAGCGGGGCCTAGGCCGGGAGCGGGGAGCGGGGGCTGAGGAGGGGGCGCGGGGACAGGGCCCGGGGGCCGGGGATCCCCGGAGCCGCCGCTGCCCGCCGCCTGCCCCCAGCAGGAGCTGGAGGCGATGAGCCGGTACACCAGCCCGGTGAACCCGGCCGTGTTCCCGCACCTCACCGTGGTGCTGCTGGCCATCGGCATGTTCTTCACCGCCTGGTTCTTCGTGTATCCTGCGGGGACAGCGCCACCGGCCACCGGGACGGGGTGGGGGGTGGGGGTGGTTGTGCTCTGCTGTGCCCCCGTTGTCGCCTTAACCCCCCCCCGCCGGCAGCTACGAGGTGACCTCCACCAAGTACACGCGGGACATCTACAAGGAGCTGCTGATCTCGCTGGTGGCCTCGCTCTTCATGGGTTTCGGCGTCCTGTTCCTGCTGCTGTGGGTCGGTATCTACGTCTGAGGCTGCCCGGCGCCCCCCCGACGGCTGTAAGCTGCCCGAGATCTTCGTGCTGTGTGTGCGTGGTGCCTGAGTGCAGGGGGTGCCCAGAGAGCTGCCCCCAGGGCAGCTGCTCTGTACCAAACCCAGATCCCTTCGGGGGCAGATTTAGGGGATATAAATGGCCGTGCTCTGATCCCAGCCTCCGCAGGGCAGCCCTGGGGTTTAAGCAGCGCAGCGGCCTCGCAGCACACGCCTCTGCTGCTGCTTTTCCTCCATCAGCTGCGCTTCTGCCAGCGCTGAGCTGCAACACAGCTGTTGGCTGATTTGGGTGGAGAGGGTTCCCGTGCCCTCCAGGGCAGAACTGGTGTTCAATTTGAGGCAGTGCGCTCGCTGTGGGCGCTCCTCTGCTTAAGGAGTGTTCCTGACCCAGCAGAACCTGGTGGGGGGTCTGCCCCATGGTGTGGGGCTTTTTCTGTGCTCACAGAGCCCTGGCAGGCTGCAGTTGGAGCGGCTGCAGCAGCATCCAGGGCTGCTCTGGGTAAAGCTGTCTCACCTCCTTCCTCTCTCCTTTGGTTCTAGGTGGGAGGCCCTGCAGAAGCTCTTTTTATATTTCTTTTACATTTCTACAAGGAAGCCTGTGTCAGGCATGGACTGTGCTCCTGTCAGGTGACTGCTGCCAGCACAACAAACCAAACCTGAATAAAGCTGGCTTCGTGATGTACCTGCCTTTGGACTTGCGGTTTGTCTTTCACCTGGCTTTTCTTTTCACCGGGCTTTTTGAAACAGCCTTGATTTCTGCACAAAATCCATGAGCCTTGGGATGGTCCCTGTGTTGCACCTGCAATTCCAGCAGCCGTCTCCTTGGCTGATTTCAGCAGCTGGAGCAGCTGTTTTGTAAGGAATTGAGCACAGTTTTTATTTCCTTCTAGGCTATTGAACACACAATTGGAATTGAGCTGCAGAGAACAGTTACTGCTGTGAAACTGCAGCTGGTGGTGTGTGACACATCCCTGGTGTCAAACTTTCCTATTTGGTAGAGGAGCTTTCCCTCTGCGAGTGCTCTCGGATGCTTTTGGGTCTGGACCTGACCTTTGAGGCATGAGCCGTAACTTAAATCTGGTCAAAAGCGTGTGTGCTGCGTTAGCAGTGAGCAGCCACAGCCTGCAGTTATCCTGACCCCAACCTGTGCACGTCTGGAAGTTCACGCTGAGCAGGTGGCATTGGGGTTCCTCAGTCTTGTGACAAGCAGCTTATAAATACTGACCCGAAAGGCTGTTTTTTCATAGCAAGGGAGGAACGCAGCCAGGAGCCGTCCTTGGATACAAAGCAGTATTTATATATTTATTTATATGGGCGTATTTACCTCGAGCATAAAACAAAGTCTAAATAAGCCAAACAAAAAAGTGGGGGATCCGGAGACTCAGCACTCAAATTCGGCAAAATATAAATATAAATCAGAAAGAAAGGAGGGAAACCACGCTTGTTTCCCACAAATAAAAACCGATAATCAATAATACCTGCTAAGAAGGCAATTCTACAAACTTGCTGGCAATATACAGTGATTAAAGCTGTGACAGCAACATTTAAACCAAACAAATTAGTGCTTTACTTTTTTTTTTTTTTCCTTAATTCTTGCAGTGGTGGCATAGTCTCTATTTACAGGCTTTAAGCTCTAACAGTAGGACAGAATGTTTGTGAATTTGCTTTTGAAACAAACTCCGAAAGAGCCAAACTTTGGCAAGTGGCCTCGTATCCACGCTCGTCTTCCTTCCTGCCAAGAATGTCTAGAGAGATGAAGCATCTTGTTTCCAGCTGAAGAGAGGGTTTTCCCCAGGCTGTGAGGCTGGAGACATCGGCTCAGAGCTCCCTCCGTCTCATGCAGGGAAAGGCCTGATTGTTAACTCTCTTGTTACTGATTGGGGATGGGGAACACAGCTGTAGTTACCGGTGGGCAGGGCAGGAACCTTGAGGGGCAGTCTGTGCAAACAGCTGTTTCTGGGGGCTTAGAAGCAATCCCGTGACCCTTTCATCACTACAACCCCCCCTCTGAGCTTGTTCCTGCCTTGCTGTCATACTGCTGTGCAGCTGCCCGTGGAGCTGGTGTATGATTTGTGGTGTACTTTAAGACAAAAGATACGGTTTTCAGCAACATAAGATGCCGAAGATGGCATTCTGAAGCTCTGATACTGTGGATCGCTGTCAGCCCGTGTGGTTTTCTGCTGTAAAACAGCTGTATGGGGGCTCAGACCACCCTTTGCACGTTAGCTATTGCCTCCCCTCATTTATTGAGCTAACTGGCCACTGGTTTTGAGGCACGCAGCATTCAGCACACGCATGGGAAACCACCGTTCCCTTGTACAGTCCTGTTAGCAGAAAAAGGCACTAGAGATGTTCCCGTAGCCCTTAGGCACTTGGTTCGCCGGGGCCCTCGTAAACCCCATGGCTAAGCATTGTGGGGACGCCTGAGAGGCTCCATCTCCTCCTGGGCCACTGCTGCTGGCGTTTCCAGTGATTGATTGCTTCCTCCCCCCTCAGAGCAGCTTCCCCTGTGGCAGGGGAGAAGCACATGTGGCTCTCAGCTGCCCTCGGCCATGACCATCAGTGAGGGGGGCGGTGGTGGGGATTGCAGGCAGCACTTTCAGCTCTGGCCCTCACGGCACTGCCCGGTGCCCCTGCGGGGGCTGAAAAAGGGCACGGGCATCGAGCCCAGTTTGGCAGTAAGGGAAAACAGTGGCTGAGAAGAGTCTGAGGGGTCTGAGAAGGCTACCCCTCAGCTGAGCAGCCCTCGAGGAGCACAGGGCATCGCTCACCTCAGTAAGGACTTGCCAGGCTGGGCCACTGATTGCCAACTGGAGAGTAAAAGCTGCCAAGAAAGCAACTTCACAGGTTAAGGCTGGGCAAAAACGCCTCAGGCAGGTGGAGAGAAGAGCAGCGAGCATCCTCTCCAGAGCGCTTTGCTGGAGGGTTTCCCTACCAGCTGCAGGCAGCAGAAAAGCCTGCTGGACATGGAGCTGACTGACCTGTGCGTGTGTAGGCACCCCCACACCTTTGGACCTCTTGCTCTCTCTCCAAGCTCCCCAAAGCAGGGCAGAAGGCCTCCGTGAGCTTCATTCCCACTTGGCTGCCTGGCATTCCCCGCTCACCCTCCGTTTCCTGGCTGCCCAGGCTTCAGTGCATTTTAGTAACCGGAGCGCATCGCCGATGTAGTTCGCTGTTTGCTGCCCACAGGCACGGCACAGGAATGAAGACCTGACCTCGAATCTGCCCTGCAAATAAAGGAAGGGGCCAGGTCCTCTGGAGGCAGGGACACAAACCCCCAGTGATGCTGCAAGGAAGCGCAAGGCTACGGCTGCTCTGCTGGGAGAAACTCAGAAGGGAGCTCTGAAGCAGGTGACAGGAGATAAAACTGCTCCCCAGGCTGGGGAGGGAAGGCAGGGTAGGGTCCCACGAGGTGCACGTAGGAACCATCTATCAGCTAAAACGTCTTTGCAGCTTCTTTCTCCGGCGCAGCTGAGCCAGCTGGTGGTGGCAGAGGGATCGCTGCATCCATCTCCACTGACAGGAACAAAATGCAGCAGCTGGAGCCTGATGCACTTTCCCAAAACCAGTTTGGTTTGAGCTGCCTGTGTCCAGCGACGGGGCCGCAAGGGGCAAGGTTGCTCTTCTCTGAAGCCAGCTTTAGAGTTTCCTTCAGGACTGGAGAGTGGTGTTTCCCCTTCACTGCCCTTCCACAGCAGTGGCTGCTGCTTCCTTGGAAAAACGAGTCACAGCTGTATGGAGCTGGTGGTGGCTCAGCCTCCAGGAGTGCAGAGGGCTCCTTCTTCAGCAAGAGGGGCTGGGGCAGGACGCATGAGTGCTGGTCACTCTGACACGTCCCCGCACAGCTGTAGCAGTCAAGCTTTAATGTGGAGCTCAGCAGTGGCCCCCTTTGGTTTCCTATGTGAGACACGACGTAGCTCAACAGGGACAGAATTAAGAGACCCATTTTTATACGGCTTAAAAAAAAAAATAAAATTCAGTAGTTTAGCAAGTTAAGAACTTGTAACAGTAAAAATACCCAAAGTACACTCAACATCACTGCTTTCTGAGAACGGTGACAGCGAGGACCCACAGTCACTGCTGTTGTCTCCTCCTTTGTGGGAGAAAATCAGCCTCTTTTTGCCAGTGCCTGGCAGAGGTCTGTTAGCCTGGTGGTGCAGTGAGACCCCGCCATGCAGCCCCAGTGACCCCGCCTGGCTCTGCAGGGTGAGCTGGGTGTTGCCAGTGGTCATTCTCAGCACGTCTGGGGGAAGTGGCTGCGTTGACTCAAGAGACGACTGGGCAGCTCCACGTGCACTGCAAGAGGCCACGCGCTGCTGGCAAACGAAGGAAACGGGTCCCCACAACACTTAACAAGGTGGCTTGGGGTTTTTTCTCCCATGGGTTGATGGCAAGCATCCCCACACGTGGTTTGGCCTGGGCACAGCCTCAGCAGCATCTTCAGTGGGGTTCTTAGGTTTATCCATCCAGACCTGGATACGGTGACAGAGCACAGCGAGGAGAGGGGGACAGGCAGGGCAAACGTGGAAGCTGCACCTTCTCTTGCTGTCTGCAGAGAATGGTCTGTTCAGGGGTCCTGGGGTCTCCAGGGGGCTGCAGGGGATGGCCCTGGGCCAAACTAGAAGGAACAGCAACTCCAGTGTACGACTTCCAGTACGTCCAGGCACAGCCTTCCTTTCCAGGTGAAACTCCAGCATTTCCCTCTTGGAAAGGGCTCCAGTGTTGAGCAATTCCAGTGTTGCGGAGAGCTGACGTGGCACATCTGGGACCACTGGGCCAGTACAGGATGGAGCTCCCATCCGTGCTGCGGGATGTGGCAGACCTGTCCACATTCAGTCCAGTGTAATGCTTTCAAATCCAGTGTCACAGGGGGCAGGAGAAGCGACGGGAGACACAAGCGTCCCCCATAAGGGATGGAGAGGTGTCCGGGGCGTGTGGGGTGGCGGGAGGTGGTGCTGGGTGAGTCCAGGAGACACTGCAGGGCTGGTTGTGTTTCTGTGGCTTAGGTCCTATGTTCTGTGTGTGCTGTGCTTCAGTGTCTGCATCACCAGCCACAGCCAAACCAGCTCCACGCCTGAAGCAGGTGATGGGGGGAAGGTGGGGCTGGGGGCTATTGGAGGAGGGTGTACGGGAGTCTCCCCAGTGTCACCAGTCCCCCTCCTCTCTCCAACCAGAGGGCACTGGTGCTGCCAGGACTCACTCACAGAGCCAGTAAAACTGGAAATAATAGTCAGTGAAAAGGTGTCCCATCTGTTCGGGAGTAGTGCTGCAGTTGGCTCGGCCCTACGTGAGAAAGCAAGAAAAAGAGCTTACAGACAGAGGCAAGATGCATGCTCCAAGGGGGGGGGGAATTGTGCCTGAACTATGTGCTGGCACAGACAAAGATCAAAATCTGTTCTAGGCCTGTGTGTGAGCAGCTGGCTCTGTCGCACTGCCCTTCCCCATGTGTGGGTAGGCACTTGTACCCCCCCTCCCCGCCCCGAATTTCATCCCTCTACTACCTGTGTGCCTTGGAAGGGAACAGCCATGCTGGAGAGGGCTGTGGAAGGCTCCCCACACAATGTGGGCACAAAACCTGTGCCACGATGATGCCACATTCCCATCGCTCTCCTTCCACTTAGCCCTGGACAAGAGGAAAGGCAAAGCAGCTGCTGGTACTCACAGGCTGTGCTACTCTGAAGTGGTAG